ACATGTAAAAACCAAAGTCAAAATAAGGTTATAAATTATTAATCAGTGTAAAAAGACAGTAAGCCTGGAATCTATGACCATTCCAAATTGGGGAAATTTCCCCCTCTTCCCAGAATATCTTATAGTGTAGAGAATAGGGAGACATCTTTTAAACAAACATGCACACACTTGTGTGTGTGTGTGTGTGTGTGTGTGTGTGAGAGAGAGAGAGAGAGAGAGAGAGAGAGAGAGAGAGAAGAAGTATATATTTCCCATGAATGATGTACCATATATGTGAAGGTCAGAGGATATCTCTTCTTCCACTATATGGGTTCTAGGAATCGAACTCAGGTCATCAAGCCTGAAAGCAAGTGCATGTCACAGCCCCAGGGAGTCATCTTGAGGTCTTGTCACAGAGTTTTAGTCATGAGTCAGAGTTCTCTGTATATTCCTATCTCTGGAACCTGTAGCAAATATCAATTTACTGAGTAAGTGAATGGGTGTCTTCCCTTGCAAGCTAGTTTACCTACAGAAAAAATTCTGAAGAAATCAAAAGAGACACTGAGAGGTCTACGTAGAAGTTAAGTATTTCTGAGATGCATAAGGGAAGTGAAGGTGCTTTCACTTCATACTATGAACTAGGGAAACCATCGGTGTGAGCTAGGTACTAAGGCAACAAGTGATCATATGTGACTGAATGTAAGAGCTAAATCTAGGAACACCAGAGTCTGTGGAGTAGTAGTATGCAAACGAATTTCCAATATACTGCCCTCTATTTCACTGTACAAAGTGGTTACCCCACCATCCTATCTGTCCCCAGCAGGCATCACAAAGGTATCAGACAGATAGACTATGCACTATGTACTCTGAGTGTGAAGAAAAACAATATAGGGTAAGCTGCGGGGAGGGGGAGCTACATCCTATTTGCAAAATAACTGAGAAATAGTAACAAACCATTACAACGTGACAATTAATCTTTACTGTCAGTCAATTTGACTGAATTTAAAATCACAATGGACCTGCTCGTATATCTATTAGAATACCACCAAAAAGGGGTAAAGAATGAAGACACACCCTAAAGGTTGGTGGCACCATTCCACGGAATGGGGTCTTGGACTGAATAAAAATAAGAAAGCCAGTAGAGCATTGATCTCTGTGTTTCCTGGCTGCAAATGCCCTCCATGATGGACTGTATCTACATATCGTGAACCAAAATGAACTTTCTTAGATTGATTTAAAGTAACTAATACACAAGTCTTAGTGCTAAGCATCAAGGAAAGGAAGCTGCCATAGTCTAAGTCCTCTACAAGGGGCACAGGGTCTAAAAAGGTCATTGGAAGATCATGAGTTCAACACAGGTTGAGAAAACCTGAAGATGGGTATCATTTGGGAGCCTGGGCAGTCTATGGGGCCTCTGGCAATGGAACCAGTATGTATCCCTAGTGCAGGAATGGGCTTTGGGAATCCATTCCCTATGTAAGGATACTCTCAGCCTAGATACATGGGGGAGGGCCTAGGTCCTGCCCCAAAGGTGATAGTCTTTGATGATCTCCCATGGGAGGCCTCACCCTCCCTGAGTAGTGGATGGGGGATGGGATGAGAGGGGGAGATGTGGAGGGGGATGGGATGATGGGGAGAATAGGAGGATGGGAGGGGGAGGGAACTGGGATTGGTATGTAAAATAAGATTGTTTTTAATTTAAATAAAAGTTAATTTAAAAAATATTTTCAAAAAATCAGAAATTTATTTTTTTCTAAACTTCATTACATAAATTGTTGCAAAAAAAAGACATCACATAAACTTTCAGTAGTAAGGAATATGTGGTTATCATGTCATTTCTATTTCTGTATATCTTTGTGACTTATGTAATTGATAACAATTACTATGGAAAGTGTGTAAATTTTTCTTTTGACTCCAATTTAAATATACATGACAAATATACTTTTACAATAAAGAAAACCCATTCTTTACAACTAACTTCCTTGGCACACAGAAGACTTTTACTTTATTTCATGTAATTTTAATTTTACTAAGATTATTTTTTGTTATACCTATATAGCTTGAATACACAGATGTGCATTTTTCTTTTTTAAATTTTTTTTATTTTTTTCTTTTACCCTTATTCTTCAAACAGATCTTTCTCTTGTCATTTTCCTTCTTATTTACCTTTCTATTTTTAACTAGTTTTTAAAGTATTTCATCTTTATTCAGCTCATTGTTTATTTTTGTCCTTTTCTTTGCTATTCTTATTGATGCTGTAAGGATTCTTGTTTTAAATTGACTATTTCCTATTTTCATATCTTGTTTGTTCTTATCATGTGGTTGTCACTGTTTATTTTCTTCTGAACAATGCTAGGGATGAACAGTGCCAAATGCCTTGAATTGTTAGGTAGGGACACTGCTACTAAATCTTAATCTGAGTCAACTGAGAAATTTCATCTAAACCCAGGCAAGTTTCATCTTGCATGGATCTATCACACACTTTCATATAAAGAGACAAAGGAAAAGAAATTTAACTTGGATCTTCTACAAGAGCAGTAGTGATCTTAACTACAGACCCATCTCTTCAGCCCCCTATTTTTTTTCATGTGCTTGTTCTAGGTTGTTATTTTGTTTTTGTGTGTGTGTGTTTTTTTTTTGTTTTGTTTTGTTTTTTTTTTTTTTTTTTTTTTTTTTTTTTTGTAAGACCTTAAGAATACATTTAGTTGATGTCTTGGTTTTGTTTTTGGGTTTTTTTTTTTTTTTTTTTTGTTAATGTGGGCACTTTAATAACTATAAAGTTCCCTCTTAGAACTTTCTCCACTGTATTCCATATATCTTGGTTTGTTTTAATTTGGTTCTATAATTCTTATTTTTTCAAAAACTATACTTAAATAACAAAATATAATAGAAAAAAAGAAAATTACCCTCTATTTTTCTTTGGTTTTTAATCAAGGAAAAAAAAATATTGATTTACACTTCTAAGAAAATTTAAAATGAGTACTGCCCTGGAGACAATTTTCCAACAAAGTATACTACTAGACTAGTACACTTCCAGGGGTGAGAGAAATGGCACTTGTTATTATTGAAGATCTGGTTTAGTTCCCAGTACCTACATGGTGGCTCACAATTATCTATAACTCCAGTTTCAGGTGATTCAATGACTTCTTCTGACCTTTGCAGATACCAGGGGCACAGGCAGGCAAGACATTTATAAACTTTTTAAAAGTCTGTAAGCCAGTTAGTGGCAATGACACACACCATTAATCCCAGCACTTGGGAAGCAGAGGCAGGCAGATCTCTGTGAGTTGAAGGCCAGCATGGTCTACAAAGTGAATGTCAGGACTACACAGAGAAACCCTGTCTCAAAAAAAAAAAAAAAAAAAAACTAATTAAAGTTTTTTTTTCCCTTAGGAAACCTGTATGTTTCCAGAGTCAGGTCACAATAACAGCCTAAAAGTGTCATTTGCACAATGCCCACAACACAACAGTTCCTTTCTACTACAAGTGACTTCTAGTCATGCTAAACACATAGACTAGGCTGCTGAAGTTATTTCCCATGACATCAACTGTGTTAATTTTGGGTTTAGTTTTTTTGTATGTTTGCTTGCTTTTATATGTATATCTGTGTATATGATAATGTGTGTGTTCAACCATTTATATGTGCAAATGTTCATGCAGGTACACTGGTTCACGTGGTTGTATCTACTGTATAAGCATGCATACAGAGGTCCGAGCTGATACAGGATGCTGTCTTCAATCACCACTTTCTCTTCTGTTTTTTGTTTTTTTGTTTTGGTTTTGGTTTGGTTTGGTTTTTTTGTATGTGTGTGAATCTATGCAGATGACCAAAGGCCAAAGGTGCTGGATCCCCCTGGAGCTGGAGTTACAGATGGTTGTCAGCCTAATATGGGTGCTGGGAACAGAACTTGAGTCCTGAAAGCTCAGTGCAAGTTCTTAACCAGAGCCATATCTCCAGCCCCCACCACCTTATTTTTTGAGACAGAGTCCCTCACTGACTCTGGAAGTCAGACATTCAGCTAGACTGGCTGGCCACTGAGCTCCAGTTATCTGCTTATCTGTGCCCAGTGCTAGGGTTATAGATACAGTGCTGTACATGCTTTACATACTAGAGATCCAAACTCATATCTTCGTGTGTAAGCACTAGGTACTTTCACATCCAAACTATCTACCCAGTGCCCTTACTTTTTTGCTAAAGCTTTGATTCCGTATAATTTCTAAGTTGATTTTATTGCAGGACTTTAGAATATATTTTCAGAATGTATAAATATCATAGTAAAAATGATCACATATATAAAAGAAAAGACAGTAGTAGAATCAAACTTCACTGGAGCACTGTGGTGTTTTGAATGTAATTGGCCCCTATAATTTCATAGGTAGTGACATTAGTAGGAGGGGTGGTTTTATTGGGGTAGGTATGGCCTTGTTGTAGGAAGGGTGTCACTGTGGGGGTGGGATTTAAGGTTTCCTATGCTCAGGATACGGCCCCATCTTTCAGTCAACTTCCTGATGCTTCCAAGATGTAGGACTCTTCCAGCACCAGGTCTGCCTGCATGCTGCCATGTCCCCACCATGATGACAATGGACTGAACCTGTCAAACTCTAAGTAAGCCCCCTCAATTAAATGTTTTCCTGGAAGAGTTGCCATAGTCATGGTGTCTCTTCACAGCAATAGAAACCCTAAGACAAGCATATATTTAGTTTTGTTATAGCTAAAAATATCTAGTCTATTTGAAAGAAAAACAAAAAAGAACTAATTACAATTCACTCAAATGCAGATAAATTAGAGGTGTAAAAGAAATTAAAAATTTGATTAAATTATATGTGAAATTAGTATACTGATGGCCAGAAATGTCTGTTACTACATTAAAACCAAAAACGTATACATATAGGAAAGATTTTATAACAGTATTTAATATGGTTAATAATGGCTTCACAAAGATTGCTAAAAAACCTATTAGCACAACTGCAACACTTCCACAATTGATCACAATTTATGTGTTTTATAGGACAGCACTTACCTTCACATTTTTCAAGAATCTGAACTGTTTCTCCTATTTCTAAGACCAGGCCTTGAGGGACAGATCCTCGAAAGCTGCATATCACTATAAGAGCAAAGATAAACATATCAGTTAGTATTTTTTAAATACTTATGGTCATAGTTACTGAATTAAGCATTGAATTTTCAATATTAACTCTCCATTATTCAATAATTCCTGTTTTAATGTGTAACAGTCAATATATTGTGAAAGGTAGTACCATTAAGTCAGAAAGCTACATACATTGTGGCAAAATTATTATTCCTGAGTGGATTGCATGTGCTCCTACATAAAAACATTTCATGTATAAAAAACTCTTCCTATCCCCCAGCATGACCTAGGTTCACATAATCTTTCTGAGCAAGCTCGTTAGTAATCCTAATTAACAGACTGGCCAACCTGCAGGCCAAGAATTCAGGTGTAGTATCAGAACAGAACCTATGGATGGCACTCAAAATCTACTACAACAGGTTATCTGTTGAACATTACTGTAAACCACAAGTTGTCCCAACTCCCAGACCAGCCCTCATGACCCTTTTTATGCTAGGCTAGCCTCCAAAGACCTAAGGGATGATCCCAGCACTAAGCCAGCCTCTACAACATGTGGCTGAAGACCAGTTTCAGGTTCTGGATCCACACCTGAGAACTAAGGCACCAAACCAACCCCTAAAAAAGAATCCACCACCCACATGCTAACCAAAGCACAAGACCAGGCCATCCAAGAACTCCATCATGGAGTTAGTTAGTGTTAGTTCCAGGGCAGCCTCCAAAGCCACAGAGAAACCCTGTCTCGAAAAAGACCAAAAAAAAAAATAAATCAATAAATAAATAAACAAAACAAAAGACTGAAGTAAGAAATACTTATTTCTTCAAATTCAGGCCAAAGCCAAAAAAGATCATAAATAACCAGGAAAACATAAAACTGCCACCAAAGGAACAAAACAAACACCTCTGGCTGAATAAATAAACAGAACTAGATATGTGACACAACTTATAATGTCAGGACTTGGAAGGTAGGGTGTGATGGGCCAGACACAGATAAAGCTATTCTAAAGAGACACCTATGTCCCTCCCTCACTCTATGAGACTACTCAAATAATGGACTGGAATTCCCCCCAGGAATCTCATGCTGAGAAAAAAAAGCCTAAAGCCTGGCCCAACCAAAGTTGTCTTAAAGAAAATAGAAGACAATGATGAGTGGTTCTTATCCTTGGTTGGTGGGAGAATTTGGAAACGGACTCAGAAGGAAACTCAAGGATCATGTTGAAGTTTGGGAAAGGGAAAACAAACTGGCTTGTTGGTCTAGTGATATGATTCCTGGTGTGGGACCGAGAAGAGGGAAGTGAATAGACAGGGTAAACATGTTGGCAGCTGTTGTGGGGGGAACAGAAAACCAGTGTAGTTCACAAAAAGACTGTTGGACTCTGACTGTTGGACTATAAAACTCAATATCTACATTTGTAGACATAATGGTCTTATGATATACACATAGATGAATTATACTATGTAACTCTGACAGGTGCAATATAAAGAAAATGCTACTGGAGATTTTGTTTACCTTTTGATTTTACATATTCATATTTACTGCTATCCATAGCATATAACAGTTTCAACATTAATTCAACCTGAGAGCTTATTATTTCCTTTTAGTATTCAGATAAAAGAACCCCACTTTTGTGATACAAGGCATCAGAACAGCAGCCCTCTCCATCTTTGCCTGAGCATTTCCTCCATTTTCCCTTTGCTCAAACAGTTACATTTTCTTGGTATATGAAACCTACTGGAAGAACTAGCATTGCAACAGACTGCTAATTTACATATTTAAAGTTGCAGTGCTGGGTCTTCTCCCCTCTGTTATAATTCTGTGCTTAAGGTGTTAGATGAGCTATATGTAAACTCTTCTAAAAGTGAACTAATATTTTTAATGATAAAACACTTCTGCAATTAACATTTATCTTCATTAACCTGTGTCCTTTAATTTTAAAATCTACAGTTTTAATTCATCTATTATCCATTTAAACAGAACTAAGAAACAGCTGCAGTCTACCCTCCTTCCTTTTTGCCACATCTATTGTAAAGAAATGTTCTAATGACTGGAATTGAATGCACTATCCAGTTCAGGTTTACATAGCTAGGTATGAAGAACCTTAGGAAAAGCAAAGTGAAAGCTTTCTTACAAAATCCAATTTCTGTAAATATATCTCTGTGGTTTATACCATCAATCACTCTACCCTAAGACTCAACAACATTTTAATATTCTCACCTATTATTTGGTTTGGAAATGTTGCTGTACTTGTGTATCTTGAATTATCAGTTCAATGTAGGTATAATTTAAGAGAATTCAGTAGAAATTACAAAGTGACAATTCAACCAATTTTGCAAGTTTTCATTTTGACAAACTACTTAAAAAAATCACTCAATTACAAATTTCATCTGGTTATTATTGTTTCAGGAAAAATGTACTAGCTTTTTTTAAGCTTTTTTTATATTTTTAAATAATTTATTTTATGTGGGAGGGAGGGAGAGGGAACTGGGATCAACATGTAAAATAATAAATTATATAAAAAAATGCTTTGACTCCAAAATTTAAGTTCAAGGACAAGTTACTGGAGAAAAGGATTTCTATTTTTGTTTCCACAGAAAATGAAAAGATGTGGATTCCTTCCAGACTAATGTGGTTTGATCAAGCCAGACCACCTGAAACAGAGTACCAAGTGATCCTACATTCAAAACAGCTGGACAAAGCAGCCTGACAGACTACAGCCAGGATTTCTGAATCTTCTTCGAATTCCACATGACAGCGCCCCTTACCAGCAGGAAGTAGTTTGGAAAGAACAACGCCCAAATTCCCAAATATTGTCTATAAATGTTTGTTTTCATTTAAATGGATTTGGTTATATAAAATTTAAAAATAAATAAATAATTTATTTTATGTGCATTAGTGTGAGAGTGTCAGATTCCCTGGAACTGGAGTTACAGACACTTGTGAGCTGCCATATGGGTGCTGGGAATTGAACCTGGGTCCTCTAGAAGAGCAATCAGTGCTCTTAACCACTGAGCCATCTCACCAGCCTCCTTTTTTTAACATTTTGATATTTGTAAAAGTCTTTAAAATGCTCATGAGTTTAAAAATTAATTGAAATTCAAACTTTCAAGATTCAAAATTTAAGTAACAGATGCCCAAACACATTCAAAAACTCAGTTTTCTTTTCTAGTCACCCACTAACCATGCTATCAACAGTTGAGAATCCTAAGGGTGTTGAGAAAGTTGACTGTTCAGTTTCTTGGCTCTGAAAATATAGATGGTTATTTTTAAATTTCTCTGTTAGAAACCTGAGAAAAATATAAGGCAGTCTGTGCCCCTAAATAGCTACATGCCATCTTATGACATTTTAAAACTTGAGTATGAATACTGTTCTGCTAATAACAGTTTATGTTTAACTTAAAAGGCAAGATTTTGTTGGGTTTTTTGTTTGTTTTTCATTTTTTAATGTTTCAGGCTTGGATTTCTTAGGAAATTACTGTAGCAAAGCTGAAATCCATTTAAGTATCTGTTAAAGTCTTTTAAATAACTGCTTACACATAACTACTTTAAAACAATACCCTATGTATCTGTATGACTTTCCGAAGCATATTAGTTATGTGTATGAACTTCATATGTTATTTTAAAAGTTTACAAAACCAAAGACATAAAGTTAATGCATTCAAAGTAACCAGTAACTGTTGTTGCTCAGCCCAGGGCCTTCCCAGAAGCCAAGTGTGGGTGACAATAACCGAAGCTGCAACTAGAGCCAGTCTGAGCAATGGGCACAGCCGGCCAGAGCACAGCCCTGCTTTCCCTTGGTCCTGGGTCAGGCTAAATAGCTTGAGTTAACAAGGAAATTCCTCCCACCCATGCAATTGTACCTAACTCAGCTCTCTTAAAAGAATAACTGATACAAACGATGGTATCTTTTCATGCTGCACTGGACTTGTGGTATAACATTGACCTCTTAATGTCTCACTGACAAAAGGCATCTGGGGGAAAAAAATCTGTCATCTAAACAATCATACTATTTGAAACTCATTGTGTGTGTGTGTGTGTACATATACATATGCATATACATACACATATACATTTGCTTTGGCAAATAATATAATAAAATTTTGTTGTACATACGACATATACTTGTATACAATCTGACTGTAATAACTCATACTGTTCCATAAATTTTTGTAAAAATAATTTTTAAAAAGCTTTGTAATTCTATGTATAAGAATGTAATGCTCCAGCTGGGCAATGGTGGTGCACATCTTTAATCCCAGCACTCAGGGGACAGAGGCAAGAGGATCAGGCAAACAGATCTCTGTGAGTTCAAGGACAGGCTACAAAGCTAGTTCCAGGACAGGATCCAAAGCTACAGAGGAACCCCTGTCTGGGGGGTGGGGGGTGGATATAATTCTCAGGCCATAATACACAATTACAATCAGTAACCGTTCCCTGTGTCTGGCTACACAACCTCTTATTGAGGAAGGGGGGGGGGGGTCGCCCTGCTCTCTCGGGTGGTGAAGACCTGGGCAGATGGTGTGAAGCAGCATGTGATCAGTCCCCAGCATTCCAAGGACTCTGCAACTGGACTTCCCACATCCTGTATTCATGAGTGTATTTCCCCACTTTCCTATCTTCACAAATCCTTGACGCCCCTTAAACAGATGCACGTGGGTTTCTCATTACACTCCCCCTGTGTATCTCTAGCTAACAGATTTCCAGGTACCAGGGTATCTCACCTGGGGATGTACATTTCCATTAAAGTGGCCACACATCCTGTTCCTCACCCCCTTTCCAACCTCTGCCTGAGAATCAGGGAGCATGATTACAGGCTTGTGCCATGAAACAACCCCCATTCTCAGAAAGGTGTAAGAGACGCTCCCCTACTTCTGCCACATGGCCCTGATTTCCTTTCTTTGGAGCCTCTGCCACACTGTCTGTCTGTTGTTGGGACATAAACTTTTCTCAAAGCCCCTGCCATACATACTGTTACCCACCTGTTTGACCATGGCATTAACAACTCTTCTAATAAATTCCT